GAGGGGGAGAAAGCCATGCAGATTGGGGGGGAGGTAATTTCACCACTGGCTCACTCTCCAGACGGCTGCAATGGCCCGTGCTGGGCCAGGCCGCAGCCTGGAATCCACCCAGTCTCCCAGGTGGGTGGCAGGCACCCAGGTACGTTTGGCGCTCATTTGGGATATGGGCATTGCAGGCTGTGGCTTAACCCACTGCACCACAACACCGTCCCTGCACTCATATGTTCAATGTGCCCTTTCAAACGCTTAATGATACCGTTCGGGGGGGGGGGGGGCTGGCACTGTGGTGCAGCAGGTTAAGGCACGGCCTGGAACAGCTGCAGCCCCTATCAGGGCACCAGCTGAAGTCCCGGCTGCTCCATTTCCGACCCAGCTCCCTGCTAACGCACCTGCGAAAGCAGCAGAGGCTGGCCTGGATGGAAGCTCTGTTTATCCCTGTCATTCTGCCTTCCCAATAAACTATATCTTTAAAAAAAAAAAAAACAAAAAAACAACCCTGTTCTTCACTCACTAAACTGATTTCACAACCAACTCATAGCAACAGTCAGTCTGGAAAGCACTACACCGGGGCCGGCACTGGCACAGCGGGTGAAGCTGCTGCCTGCGGCGCCGGCTGGAGTCCTGCTGCTCCACTTCCGATGCAGCGCCTGCTAATGCAGCTGGGAAGGCAGCAGAGGAGGCCCAAGTCCTTGGGCCCCTGCACCCTGCACCCACGTGGGAGACCCGAGGAAGCTCCTGGCTCCCGGCTTTGGACTGGCCCAGCCCTGCCATTGCAGCCATCTGAGGAGGGAACCAGCGGATAAAAATTCTCTGTCTCTCCCTCCCTAACTCTTTCAAATAAATACATAAAAATCCTGTGTATTATGTGTATTTTCTCACAATTCAATATTGACAAGATTCTACAAGTATGGACCCAGAAAACCTCTAAAATATCCTCTTCTTGGATGAAGACAGCAGGTTGAAGCCAACACGGAGCCCGGGGTCCCATTAAAGAAGGTGGTGTGCACGCTGCGGTTCACACACCCAGAAATGAGCACGTGCCACACACGCATCCAGAGACTCCAAGAAAGAAGACAGAGAGCACAGAGAGGCAAACCCAAGGGCGAGCCAGTCCCGCCCGCATCCCCAGCCCGTTCCCGGCCCCCTCTGGACGTACCTGAGGGCCTGATCCGGGGACCACGCAGTCCGGCCAGGGGCTCTGGGCTGTCGAGGAACCTGAAGGGACAGGGGCTCAGGTGAAAGGTTCTCCAGGAAGGTCGGCAGCCCTGCCAGCTGCGGGCACAGCTGGGCCTGGCGTCCCTGGTGCTTCCGCCCCTACAGTCACTGTGGACAGGGGTTTCTCCCCGTCTGGAGCCAGGGCTGCTAGGGAAACTCCTTTCCATCATCCGATCGACACACGACCTTGTTTGACGTGTGCGTCTGTTGGAAGACGTCTCACTCAACAAATGTGGATGCTCATTAGCATCGAACTCGCCCAGCGTGCCTGTGCCTCACGCCTGAACACAGGGTGTCTGACACACGTGACGTCCCGGCCTCCCTGTGCCTGGCGACCCCACAGGGCACCTCGGCACTGAGACCACTGAGGGAAAGCAGGAAGTGGAGGATGGAGAGGCTGAAACGTGGAGGCGGAGCCTAGCCCGGCTCCAGCCTTGGTGGGCAGCGAGTGAGCGTTGATTTGGGGATACAAACACTTCCAGCCATTAGGGAAATTCACCAATATGCAGTGTGTGATTAACGACAATTCATACATTCACAGGCACACGGCTTACATACATGTTCAAAGACACACACACACGCTCACGGGAAGCTGAAGCCCATGCCCTGCCCGTTCCGGTCCTGAGCCCAGCCACAGGCTGCTGTCCATCCTTGCCTTGGCCAGCCCTCAGCCCGGAAGTCCCAACGCTCCTCCCTCCTGCTCCCCGGCTCTCTGCCGCACCCCGCGTCTTCCATGGCTCTGGGCCCAGCACAGGCTTCCTTCCAGCCTCCTCTGCACCCCCGACAGGGCCCTGCACCCAGTGCTTACAGCTCTCCTGAGGCCCCCCAGGGCCTGATGGGTGAAGCCTCTCCTGGATCAGTAAAACGCCTGACAAGGTGCATGACACAACACTGCCCCCTGCTGGGCATCCTGGTTGCTCCCCTGAGACGCCCAGAGAGGTGGCGGTCACGGCAGGAGCGCAGTGCCAAGGCCACCAACTCTGCCGGTGTGGTCTCTGCGGCCGCGGGAGGAGCTGGGGTTCTGCGCTGACTGCTTCCCCCGCTGTCACTGATGCTAAAAGGGCTGCTACGCCCACTTCACTCTGCCTCACGAAGGGGAGCCCTCATACACGCAGACGTGACAAGTGCAGTAACTGTTCTTAAGAGTGTGGGGGGGTGCTGTGGCGCAAGGGGTTAAAACCCTGGTCTGTAGTGCCGGCATCCCACGTGAGTGCCAGTTTTAGTCCTGGCTGCTCCTCTTCCGACCCAGCTCTCTGCTCTGGCCTGGGAGAGCAGTAGAAGATGGCCCAAGTCCTTGGGCCCCTGCACCCTTGTGGGAGACCTGGAAGAAGCTCCTGGCTCCTGGCTCCTGATCAGCTCAGCTCTGGCTGTTGCAGCCATCTGGGGAGTGAACCAGCAGATGGAAGACCTTTCTGTCTCTCTCTCAGGTTCTACATCTCTCTGTAACTCTCTCAAATAAATAAATCTTAAAAAAAGGGGAGGGGCCGGCATCGTGGCACCAGGGGTAAAGCTGCCACCTGCGGCACTGCCATCCCATGTGGGAGCGAGTCTGGGTTCCGGCAGCTCCACTTCAGACCGAGCTCCCTGCTAACACGCCTGAGAAAGCTGCAGCGAATGGCCCACGTGCTGACGGCCCGCTATCTGTGAGGTTCCTGGCTTCAGACCAGCTCAGCTCAGCTGTTTCAAATAAATACATCTTAAAAAAATCTTAAAAATGTTACGGGACGTGGAGGGAGGGAGACTCGACCCAAGGGAGCCTCAGGGTGGTTCCACCGACCACAGTGGAGAGCCAGAGCGACGCTGAGCTGCCTGGTATCTGGGTTCCTCCAGCTCAGAGACCGGGTACTGAGTCAATGAACGACAGAGTTCAGGTCTGTGCTGCCTAGGAATCCTGCCTTCCTCCCCCCAGCCTGGAACGCTCTCGTGCCGTGCTCTGGGATCCGGCATCTCCTGGGCATGAGTGTCCCGTCAGCAATGGGGACATCAGCCCGCCCCTACCCTACCCCACCCCAGGGCCCAATCCCCCTGGCCACTTGCACCCTCACCGTGGGGGGCCTGCTTCCTGTCTGCGCCTCCCCCTCCAGCCAGGCTCGGCCGAGGCTGGCTGATTTCCGTCCTCACAGAGAAGCCCAGGCATTCACTTCTGTCTTCGTCTACTGCACGACCCCTTCTCCAGACCCACGCCGTGCTCTCTGCCGCTGGAGGAGAAGGATGCGTGTGTGTCGCAGGGGCCGAGAGCAGAGCAAACGTGGCTCTTCTGAGGTGCAGTTTCACAGTGCCACAGCAGCTCAGCCTTGCCCTCCACTAACACAACAGGCACCTCAGGAACTGCAGTCGGCCGTGGACTTCACCAGGGGCCACGAGCCCCATCTGTGCCCCCAATCCTGACCCGGCTGCAGTGCCGAAGGACCTGGTCCTACTGCTCAGAGCGGGAAGGCAGCACCATCTGCAGGTACAGACGTTATGAGAACACAGGGCCACGGCTCACGTTCCAGCAGGTTCTGAGAGGCCTGGGGGCTCAAGGCCCCTGCTTCCCCCCATGCAGGGATGCCTGCCCTGCCCCCCCATGCAGGGATGCCTGCCCTGCCCCCCCCATGCAGGGATGCCTGCCCTGCCCTGCCCCCCCATGCAGGGATGCCTGCCCTGCTCCCCACCACGCAGGGATGCCTGCCCTCCCCCCCCACGCAGGGATGCCTGCCCTGCTCCCCCCCATGCAGGGATGCCTGCCCTCCCCCCCCATGCAGGGATGCCTGCCCTCCCCCCCCATGCAGGGATGCCTGCCCTGCTCCCCCCTCCCCACATAGGGATGCCTGCCCTACCCCCTCCCCATATAGGGATGCCTGCCCTGCTCCCCCCCCCATGCAGGGATGCCTGCCCTTCCCCCTCCCCATATAGGGATGCCTGCCCTGCCCTGCACCCCCATGCAGGGATGCCTGCCCTGCTCCCCCCCGCCCATGCAGGGATGCCTGGGGCTTCTCAGCACCAGGCCAAGGTGCTCCTGATGCTGACAGCTATCAGCGTGGGGCCTGCCTGGACGTCACACCACAGCCGGCAGTCCAGGGTCTGCCCCTCAGCTCCCACCAGCCAGATCTCTGCCGCCCTTTCCTGTCTGCCTCGCCCACCAGCGCGGGTGCTGCCCGAGGGCAGGGCTCTTACCTCACACACTCCTGTATCCTAGGGCCCAGGACGGAGCCGGCCCAGGGCAGTGTGTGGTGAGCATTTGCTGAGTGAAGGAGACTTCCCTGATCCGTCCAGGAAGCCTCCCACACTAGAGCGACAGTGCCGAGGCGAGGGGTCCCCTCTGCAACCACGCGGCTTGGGGCTCAGGCCCAGCAGCAGGCACCTCCCTGGCGTGGTGGGACCCGGCAGCTGACCTCAGCTCTCTGCGGTCAGGTCCTCAGGCACTCACGCTGGGGTTCCCTGAGCAGGTGTCGTGCCTGTCACAGACAGGTGTGGGACAAGCTAGCCGTGCACACGTCACTAAAAGCACCTCCCTGTGGGGTGGACACGTCCCTTCCTCCGAGTGCGTTGAAACAGGAGGCTAGGACAGTGAGGTGAAGGACAATGAGGCTGAAACTCGAGGACGAGACGCAGGACATGGTGCCCAGTACCCCACTCAGCCACACTCAACACCCCCGGGTGCTTCCCAGGGACACAGGTAAGAGCTAAGCAGACAGGCGCAGCATCACTCAGGGGAGAGCAGGCAGTGCAACGGACAGTCACAGACAGCAAGGGACAGTGAGATCGGGCACACGGTGGCCCCAGGCCAAGAGTCTGTTACCCGTGCTCAGCAAGAGGAAGGGTGAGGACAGCACAGTGTGTCAGAAAGACAGAACAGTCACAGAACTTTTATTCCAATGTAATCACGATTTTTCTATTTTATTATTGGCTCTTGTTGTTAGTTTCTTAGTAGGCCTAATTTATCGATTACACATTTCCATAGACGGGTATAAGAAAACACACACAACACATGGGGCTCTGTAGGACCGACAGCCTTGGGACGGACCCCGAGGGTCGGGGGCACTGCTGTGAGGCCAGGTGTGCGAGTGAACGCACGGGACCAGCACGAGCCTCTTCATGGACAGACACACCTACACGCGGCTGACACAGTGAACGCGGGGCAGACGCAAGGACCGGCAGAAGCCGGAAGACAGTGTGGAGTGAAGAGAGGGCCAGGAGGAGACGAGCAGGGCAGGGCACCATCTACGCAAACCTCAGCCCCACCACACACAAAGACACAAATCTAAGTGAACATAAGCGTGGCTGTCCGTAGCGGACAGGAGGGAGACGGGAAGCAGAGAGGGGGTCAAGCCTCAGTCGTGTGCCGGAGCGACCGCACTCAGAACCAGGAAGTCCGACGGCCGTCACACCGTCTGTGGAGCCCTTCCCTCTTCTCACTCCAGCTAAGCCCCTCTCCTGGGACATCGCAGAGGCCTGAGTCTGACCACACGCCTGTACTTCAGACGTGGGCAGTGGCTGCTGTGAACGTCTCGTGGGCAACGCCCATTCCCACGTCCACACGCATCCTGACCCCGACCTCTGCACCTGCAGGGCCTCCCTGCGGCCGGGTCAGGGGTGCCGACACACGGGCCCCAGCACTTCCTGCACCCAGCTGCCCGCTGCCCTTGGCACTGAAACAGAACGCCCAAGCTGGTCCTCGGCTCTGTCCTTGGTGCTGAACCGCACGGGAACAGCCCTACTCGCTGTCCACCCAGGCCCGGGCTCACTCGCTGTCCCTGGTGCTGAACGCTTAGACCTGGCAGGACCTGGTGTGGCAGAGGCTGAGGCAGGGCCTGGCAGAGCTGCTCAGGTTCAGCACGAGGCACGAATGGGTGACTTACGGCGTCCCGCAGGCCCACGTAAGTGCTGCGTGTGCCTGGCTCCAGGCCCCTCCACAGCCCCGGGAGGTGGCTGTGAACAGGATCCCGCCTCACAGAGGGTGGTGCACGGACGCTGCCTCCCCTCCATTCCCCGTCCTGCTGCCCTGCCTGCAGGGGTGCCGAGCTGCTGCTGCACTGTTGCCCAGACTCACTTCTGCTTCTGCTTCATGACCTCGTCGGCATTGGGCAGGCAGTGTGTCCACGGCAGGACCCCGTAGAGCCACTTCAGCACACAGTGGCCCAGTGCTTGCAGGTCGCTACGGCGGGAGGGCCCTGGAGGGGGAGGTGGCGGCTCAGTGCTGGCACTCCTCTGACGCCTCAGCAACTCAGCCACGCACGCACGCACCGCCAGCCCCTTGTTCGCTCTCCACTCGCCTTCTAGCTCTCCACCACCCTCGCTCACTCAGGCCTTCACCTGCTCGCTCGCTCATCTCAGCTTCTGTTCTTGCAGTCAGTGAATCCCTGTGCAGGCCCCACTTCACATCCTGAAAGCCCAGACCCGGGTCTGCCTGGGTCCCGGCCCTGGACAGTCTGGCAGGGGAACAGCCACGGTGCAGGAGTCTGAGCCACAGGCCAGACGGGACGAGCACGGGGAGTCCAGGGTGGGGACGGAGCCCAGCCTCAGGGGAGCAGAAGGGAGACTGCGGCTTTCTCTTCCTTACACCTCCTGTCGTGTGGCTCAGACACATGCAAACAAACCCTCTGCGAACACTGAGCGCCGACTGTGCCAACCCCTGCCGCCAGACGCGGGTGCAGAGCTCCTCTCCCTGCCCCGGGGCGCTCAGCACGGTCGAGGACACGGGCAGCACACAGACGGCCACGATACAAGATCTGAAGAAGCAGGGCTTGGGGCCCGCATCGTGCGGAGTGGGTTACACCGCAGCCCATCAGGCTTGCTCATGGCCCAGCCACTGCGCTTCCGATCCGGCTCTCTGCCTACGCACCTGGGAAGGCAGCAGCAGGTGGCCCACGTGCTGGGGGTCCCGCCACCCACATGGGAGACCCAGATGAATTCCTGGCTACTGATGTTGGCCACTTGGAGAGTGAACCAGCAGATGGAAGATCTTTTTCTCTAGCTATGTAATCTGCCTTTCAAATAAATAAACAACTCTTAGTAAACAACCAAGCAGGGCTCAAGGAACCCACCTGGGCCACCTTTCCCTTCCACGCACCACGCTGTCCTAGGACTCCGGCTGCTAACGCCTGGGACACAGCCCTGGCCTGGGCCCACTCCCTCACTCTGCATGTGGCTCACAACTGTCCTCAGCCGCCCCTCTGGGGACGCTCCCAAGGCCACGCCACACTGTGAAGGCCATCCCAGTGCCAGCTTCCTGCTGTGGTAGTGCTGAACCCCACACCCACACTGCCCTCGGGGAGCCTCTCCATTGGAGCTCCGCCACCTTGGCCGGGACCCTCAGAGCCCCTGTGCAAGGCCGGTCTCCATGGTCCCCTTACCACAGCCCCTGTGCAGGTCCATGCTGATGAACTCGAGGTCCCCCTCGTGCGGACTCCTGCTGCCCTCCACGTAGGCCACGTGTCTGCCCCCTGGGCAGTAGCGGTAGGTGAAGCCGTAGCCCCCCAGGGTCACCTGTGCACACGGGGAAGAGCCACACAGACCAGTGGGTAAGACTGCAGGTGTGAATCCACCAGTCAATATCGACAGCGTGTTTAACTCACACAACTACGTCGCGCTCAGAGCACAAGTGCCAAACGGTACGGAGAGGTGAGAAGTGCCCAAACCAACTACCCACATCCCCCCAGCCCCCAGCCCCCCGCCCCACTGCCCTAAGGCAACTGTGAGTAAGTCACACATCATCCCAAATCCTCACCCTTCAAACGGCAGGCCCTGCGGAGGGCGGGGCCCTTGCTCTGTACAGAGGGAGCACACAGTACCTGCTATCAGGCACTCAGCTTTTTTGCATGTTTAAACAGCTCTTATTAATTTTTATTTATTTGAGAGACAGAGTTCCCCTCACTGGGTCACTCCCCAAATGCCTGCAACAGCGGGGGCTGGGTCAGGCTGAAGCTGGGAGCCAGGTCGCCGTCCCGTCGAGATCGCCCACGCGGGCGGCAGGGCCCCGTCGAGGTCTCCTACGCGGGCAGCAGGGTCCCAGCCACTGGGGCCCTCACCTGTTGCCTCCCGGATCTGCATCAGCAGGAAGCTGGGGGCTGAACCTCGCCAGATGCGGGGTGGGGTGGGATTCCCAAGGGCAGCTTGACCAGCAGGACGGACGTGCGTCCCTCCGGCACTAACTGGAGCGCAGCAGCCGGGTTCAGACCAGCTCAGCCCCCTGGTAGCTGCGCAACCTTGGGCAGTCACGGACGTCTCTGGTTCGGCCCGGCCCCCCCACTAACGGCGGCTACGAGGCTTGGGGAGGTTTGATGTAAACCAGCAGCAAGGAGCCCTGCGCCAGTGCTCGGGACAGCAGGCGACTGCCGGACAGCAGCCTCCGCCGCCGCTCCCCTTGCTTCTTGTCGCTTTCTCTGCGCTGGCGATTCTAGGTGCAGCCTGCCTGGCCCGGGCGCTCACACGCTGGGGTGTGCCGCTGGGTTGTTCCCGGGCAGAGTGTCTGAACCGCAGACCGCGCCCCTGAGGACTGTGGGGAAGCTGTGACAGAGCGGCTCCTGCCCGACCGCACCAGGGTTCACAGACAGAAACGCTGCTCCTCCTGGCCCACGCCCGCTGCCTTTGCACTGGAAGCGACACCATCAGCTCTCCTGGGCCAGCTGAGAGCATCAGCCTCCATTACAGTCTCTCCACACACAACACAGATGCACACATGCACGTAACACACACACGAGAGACGCACACGCATAAACACGACACAAGCACAAACCACACATGCAAACATGCACACAACACACATTCGAACGTATACAGAGACGCACACACATACATGACACATGCACACACAGAGGAAACACATGTGACACGTATGCACACACACACACGCACACTCCCTGTTGGCTCTGTTTCTCTGGGGCACCCTGACTAACCCACAGCTCCAGGGTCTTCCCCAGGACTGCCCTCCCCAGCGGTTCACAGGGGCTCACCGGCTCTGCCCCTACTAGGACGGCCCAGCTATGGGGACGTAGGCCTGATCTTCTGGTGGCCATGTGACCGCCTGGGGAAAGTCTGCCAGACGACGAGCAGTGCGGAAGCGGGAAGAGCCGCCCCCAGCGCCAGGGCCGAGCGCCTGGCCCAGCCGAGCCGGAGGGCAGTGGAGCCCTGCACTCTGCACTTCACAGACCAGACCAGCGAGTGGCACACCCGCCCCCTTTTTTGCTAAACCACCGGATTTGTCATTTGCAGCTCAAAGAGTATTGACAAATCACTCAAAAATGCTACTTAGGCAGCGTCCTGCCCTGCGGCAGTAGGAACCTCAGGCATTTCCTGTTTTACTGCTGCCACAACATCTCCCGGCATCTCACAGTCCTGGGACTGCAGGGGTGTGGCCAGAACATCTCCCGGCATCTCACACAGTCCTGGGACTGCAGGGGTGTGACAGCTCCCTACAGGAGGAGTGGTGGGGGGAGTCCTAAAGGCATCTCACACAGTCCTGGGACTGCAGGGGTGTGAGAGGGGGGGCATCCTACAGGCATCTCACACCATCCTGGGACTGCAGGGGTGTGACAGCTCCCTACAGGAGCTGGGGGCCAGTGCTGTAGCGCAGTAGGTGAAGCCGCCGCCTGCAGTGCTGGCATCCCGTACGGGCACCACTTTGAGTCCCGGCTGCTCCACTTCTGAACCAGCTCCCTGCTTATGGCCTGGGAAAGCAGCAGATGGGCCAAGGACTGGGGCCTGCTCCCACGTGGGAGACCCAGATGGGCCAAGGACTGGGGCCTGCGCCCACGTGGGAGACCCAGATGGAGCTCCTGGCGTCAGCCTGGCTCAGCCCTGCACGTTGTGCCCATGTGGGGAGTGACCAGTGGATGGAGGACCTCTCTCTCACTCGCTCTCTCCCACTCCTTCAAATAAATAAATAAATCTTAAAAAAAAAAAAAACCTGATACATCAAAAAACAGATACATTAAGATTGAACTGAAATTACATGGAGAATAAATTCATTTGCCCATCAAAAGGGAGAAAACATTTTGGTTTGGTTTTCAGGTTAACGTAGGGAGGTCGGGCGCCTTCTCAAGTACTTAAGGAGCCGCCATGGCCGATCCTTCGCCCGTGTTGCCGGCCAGTCGCCCGACTCTCCTGAATTACTCAAAGGAGCGCCTGGGCCACGACGCACACCGATCCTTTGTCTCAACAAGCACTGTAAGTGGCGGTTTGGGGACAGATGGGACCCCGAGCCCAGAGCCCGGAGCTGGAGGAGGACGGCTCTCACCTGGCTCAGGTCGTCTGGGCTCACGAAGACGCTCGCAGCTGTCACGTTGCCGTGAACATACTCATTCTCGTGGAGGAACTCCAGGGCGTCGAGCTGGGAGGGGAAGGCAGCAGGCACGCTGAGCGCTGGGCTCAACCACAGCCAGCAGGGGGGCTCCGCTGCCAGCCCGGGGCTCCTCTGCGCCAACGGCCCAGGAGCAGGGAGGACCCTCACTCCCCAAGAGCGCGGGCACACAGCTTCTACCTCCAGCCCCCGGTCACCTGGTGCGCTGTCCAGGTGTAGTCACGTCCTGATTATACCCCTCCACCCCCGTCCCAGACCCCAGGCTCCACTGGCCACCAGGTTCCGCCTGCTCTACTTTGAGAAGCTCCTGGGGGCCACCTCCTCTCCCAGGGGCAGCCTCAGCCTCCACCTGCCCCAGCTCACCCCTCACCTCCCCAGGGCTCCTCACCTGCCCCAGCTCACCCCTCACCTCCCCAGGGCTCCTCACCTGCCCCAGTTCACCCCTCACCTCCCCAGGGCTCCTCACCTGCCCCAGTTCACCCCTCACCTCCCCAGGGGCTAATGCACCTGCCCCAGTTCACCCCTCACCTCCCCAGGGCCTAATGCACCTGCCCCAGTTCACCCCTCATCTCCCCAGGGCCTGATGCACCTGCCCCAGTTCACCCCTCACCTCCCCAGGCCTCCTCACCTGCCCCAGCTCACCCCTCACCTCCCCAGGGCTCCTCACCTGCCCCAGTTCACCCCTCACCTCCCCAGGGCTCCTCACCTGCCCCAGTTCACCCCTCACCTCCCCAGGGGCTAATGCACCTGCCCCAGTTCACCCCTCACCTCCCCAGGGCCTAATGCACCTGCCCCAGTTCACCCCTCATCTCCCCAGGGCCTGATGCACCTGCCCCAGTTCACCCCTCACCTCCCAGGCCTCCTCACCTGCCCCAGCTCACCCCTCACCTCCCCAGGGCTCCTCACCTGCCCCAGTTCACCCCTCACCTCCCCAGGGCTCCTCACCTGCCCCAGTTCACCCCTTACCTCCCCAGGGGCTAATGCACCTGCCCCAGTTCACCCCTCACCTCCCCAGGGCTCCTCACCTGCCCCAGTTCACCCCTCACCTCCCCAGGGGCTAATGCACCTGCCCCAGTTCACCCCTCACCTCCCAGGGCCTAATGCACCTGCCCCAGTTCACCCCTCATCTCCCCAGGGCCTGATGCACCTGCCCCAGTTCACCCCTCACCTCCCCAGGCCTCCTCACCTGCCCCAGCTCACCCCTCACCTCCCCAGGGCTCCTCACCTGCCCCAGTTCACCCCTCACCTCCCCAGGGCTCCTCACCTGCCCCAGCTCACCCCTCACCTCCCCAGGGGCTAATGCACCTGCCCCAGTTCACCCCTCACCTCCCCAGGGCTCCTCACCTGCCCCAGTTCACCCCTCACCTCCCCAGGGCCTAATGCACCTGCCCCAGTTCACCCCTCACCTCCCCAGGCCTCCTCACCTGCCCCAGCTCACCCCTCACCTCCCCAGGGCTCCTCACCTGCCCCAGTTCACCCCTCACCTCCCCAGGGCTCCTCACCTGCCCCAGCTCACCCCTCACCTCCCCAGGGGCTAATGCACCTGCCCCAGTTCACCCCTCACCTCCCCAGGGCTCCTCACCTGCCCCAGTTCACCCCTCACCTCCCCAGGGCCTAATGCACCTGCCCCAGTTCACCCCTCATCTCCCCAGGGCCTGATGCACCTGCCCCAGTTCACCCCTCACCTCCCCAGGCCTCCTCACCTGCCCCAGCTCACCCCTCACCTCCCCAGGGCTCCTCACCTGCCCCAGTTCACCCCTCACCTCCCCAGGGGCTAATGCACCTGCCCCAGTTCACCCCTCACCTCCCCAGGGCCTAATGCACCTGCCCCAGTTCACCCCTCATCTCCCCAGGGCCTGATGCACCTGCCCCAGTTCACCCCTCACCTCCCCAGGCCTCCTCACCTGCCCCAGCTCACCCCTCACCTCCCCAGGGCTCCTCACCTGCCCCAGTTCACCCCTCACCTCCCCAGGGGCTAATGCACCTGCCCCAGTTCACCCCCACACCACCCCAGGGGCTCCTCACCTGCCCCAGCTCACCCCTCACCTCCCCAGGGCTCCTCACCTGCCCCAGTTCACCCCACACCTCCCCAGGGGCTAATGCACCTGCCCCAGTCCACCCCCACACCACCCCAGGGGCTCTTCACCTGCCCCAGTTCACCCCACACCTCCCCAGGGCTCCTGCACCAGCAGCTGACCCTGCCCTTCCCCCGCTCCCTGTCCGCCCAGGGCTCCTGCGCACCCTCAGGACAGACCTCCAGCTCCGCAGACTGGTGGTCAAGGCCATGTGACCTGGCTGCTGCTGGCCTCTCCACTCCACCCTTGGTCACGCCACTGTCAGGAAGACCCTCATGGCCCAGGCAGCACCTCACTACCCCGGTGGTTTAAACAGGGCCCCTGCTGCCCATCTCAGTGCGGGCACGCCTCCACGTGGAGCACCTGTCCCAGCCTGCACCACTGTTTCCGAACGCTCCTCCAGACCAGACTGTGAGCTCCAAGACGTGAACACAGGGCCCGGGCCGTCTGATGAATGCTAACGAACAGGTGCCTCACGCTCTCTCCCACAGCAGCCTCCTTGGCCGGAACGCTCTCCGCCCCCACGCCCTCAGACCCCTGCTATTTCCCACTCATCTCGTGTGCACCGGCTTAGAGACGACCTCTGCCAGGAAGCCCACTCCAGCCCTCAGCTGGAGGCCGGGGTCCTTCCTGCGAGAGCCCCTGTGACAGCACACCTGCCTCTCCCACCACCTGCCTGCGTCAGGGCGCTGGTGCCAGGCCCCAGAGTGGGGGGCCGGAGGCATCATGGAAGCCACAGCTCCCCACCCCAGGACCAGTTCTCGGTACATACCAGTCTGCAGGCCACCTGCAGGACACATCTCTCGGACAGCACATGCTTTGGGGTGTGGTCCAGGGCCCACTGCAGGCTCCTCCCCAGGATGGGAAACACCAAGAACCTGGAAGACATCAGCGCCCCGGAGGTGGCAGACCCAGAGGTGATGGGTGTGGGCACGTAGGTGGACTCTGGCTGGGGGCTGCAGGCCCCGGCCCCGAGGGAGAACAGGGTTCTGACCAGCTGGGCACAAGCCTGGCTCAACTCTGCAGGGAGCAGGCAAGCGACTGAGTGGCCCTCGGCTCCTGGGTCCCCTGGACAGGTGAGGGCCAGAAGTGGCAGGGGAGGTGGCTCACCTGTACTTGTCCTGGTGAATGCCAAAACCCACACAGGTGGGGATGGCCAGGAGGGGGTTTGAGCTCAGCTTCTTCCACTTGTTCACTGTGGGAGGCAGGGGCTCGAGGTTACAGACCACCTGGCTTCAGGCCCACGGGAACAATGGCCCAGCCCACACCGACCGAGTCTCCTGGCCGGAGACGACATCTCTGCGGGTGGGTGGGTGGGTGGGTGACAGCAGGAGGGGTGGAGCAGGGTGGGTGAAGGTGGCCCACATGCGTCTGAGGGTGACACAAGATGGCTTCTGTGTACACAGTCTGCAGTGAGCAGAGGGAACAGGAGTGGCGGAGCACAGCTGACAAGGGCCAACCAAGGGCCCAGCGGGCCGTGGTGCCACCAGACATGCCCCATCTCCCAGGGCCGCGGTGAGGGGGGACAGCTGCGCGGCTGGCCGCCAGGGTTCTGTGGTATACATGCGCCCCCCGACTGCCTGGAGGTGGCAGGGAAGAGGCGGCGGCAGCCCCACTAAGCCAGTGCTCTCCCCGCAGGCGCGGCAGCAGCCAGGGCAGGGAAGAGAAGGCGCGGGAATCAGGAAAGGACACCCCGTGAGCCTGTACTTTTTTTTTTTTTTTTTTTTTTTTTTTTTTTTTTTTTGACAGGCAGAGTGGACAGTGAGAGAGAGAGACAGAGAGAAAGGTCTTCCTTTGCCGTTGGTTCACCCTCCAATGGCCGCCGCGGCCGGCGCGCTGCGGCCGGCGCACCGCGCTGATCCGATGGCAGGAGCCAGGAGCCAGGTGCTTCTCCTGGTCTCCCATGGGGTGCAGGGCCCAAGCACCTGGGCCATCCTCCACTGCACTCCCTGGCCACAGCAGAGGGCTGGCCTGGAAGAGGGGCAACCGGGACAGAATCCGGCGCCCCGACCGGGACTAGAACCCGGTGTGCCGGCGCCGCTAGGCGGAGGATTAGCCTAGTGAGCCGCGGCGCCGGCCAGCCTGTACTTTTGTATGACACACTGGACTGCAGGTTTACGTCATCTTTACTCATGGCTGTGTGTAACTACCAGCTCCCAGGGGCCGGCACCGTGGCGCAGTGTAAGCCGCTGCCTGCGACACCAGCATCCCATACGCGCACCAGTTCGAGTCCTGGCTGGGCCGCTTCTGAGCCAGCTCCCTGCTAATGAACCTGGGAAGGCGGCAGAACAGGGTCTGAGTACATGGGCCCCTGCACCCACGTTGGAGGCCCAGACAGAGTTCTAGGCTCCTGCTTTGGCCTGGCCCGGCCCCAGCTGTTGTGATCATTTTGGGGAGTAAACTAGCAGAGGGAAGGTCTCCTTGTCTCTTCCCCCACCCCCGATACTTTGTGCCTTTCAAATAAATAAAATAAATCTTTAAAAAAATAATCAGGGCCGGCGCTGTGGCGCAGTGGGTAAAGCCGCCGTCTGCAGTGCTGGCATCCCACATGGGCGCCAGTTGGAGTCCGGCTGCTCCACTTCCAATTCAGCTCTCTGCCGTGGCCTGGGAAAGCAGTAGAAGATGGCCCAGGTCCTTGGGCCCCTGCACCCACGTGGGAGACCCAGAAGAAGCTCCTGGCTCCTGGCTTTGGATTACCTCAACTCTGGGCATTGTGGCCAATTGCGGAATGAACCATCAGATGGAAGGTCTTTCTCTCTCTCTCTCTCTGCCTCTCCTCTCTGTAACTCTGACTTTCAAATAAATGAATAAATAAATCTTTTTTTAAACAAAAAAGTCAACCAGCTTGCAGTGTGCCTAAATGCCGAATGCTTGCCCCTGAGACGGCATGAGCCAGGTCTGGCACCCGCCGCCCGCGCTGAGCGCCTGAGCCCGAGGGGTGACAGGAGTGAGGTGGTGGGCACACAGGACGACACTGTGGGCCTCCCCACAGTGCCGGGGAGCTGCAGCCACGCCCTGGAGTACCTTGCACAGGCTTGGCGGCCCGCTGGAAGAAGTGCTGCTCGTTGAACAAGCGTCCATCCTTGGCGTCCTGGGGGGGGGGGGGGCAGAGGGCTATCTCAGGGACCGTCTCAGACGAGGGACTCAAGCTCACCTCTGGCAGTCACTACCCAACTTAATGGCAACCCTGACCAGGCTGCTCCTCACGTCCTCAGCGCCTGAGCCAAACTCCCGAGGGCGCTGCCCGTGAGCACAGCTCCCAGCACCCAGGCTCCTTTTCTGGGACGTTAAGACCTGCAAACTGTCCCTGGACGTGCAGCCTTCAGTTAAAAACTACACTTCCCAGCCTCCTTTGCAGTAAGGAATGACCACATGACCACACTCTGGCCAACGGGACGTGAGCAGGAGAAATGTGGGTCAACTTCCAGCTTCTACCCTTAAAAGGCTGGGGCAGGCCTTTCCTCTTCTCCTGTTCCTTTTGCCTGGAACGCAGATGTGATGGTGGGAGCTGTAGCAGCTGTCTCAGCCTAAGAGATGGAGGCTGTGAGTTGCGGTAGACAGCAACAAGACAGAAGGAAACTGGGCTCCTTCGCAGCCCTGGGCCACTGCCCAGATGTTCAAGTGAGAAAGCAGCAGGACATTATCTCCTGGAGCCATCACTAACACGAAGTCTTTTTAAAAAGCGGCAGTTAAACCAGTTATCGCGAACACAGCTGTGCAGGCGTCTCCTTAGGTGCACACTCCACCCGGCCCTGCCACGCGCTCCTCATCGGCTCGTTCTGCACAGCCCCTGATATGCCCTGGGCACCGGGACAAGGCGGTCAACAGAGCACCTTGTGTGCTGCTGGCCCTGGGCTGCCCCCTGACGCCACATCTCACGTCACAGGGCCTGCGTTCAAGTCCTGGTTCTGCCAGCGAGTCCGTCTTCCTGCTAACGTGACCCTGGGGGACAGCAGAGCCGGCTCAGTACTCGGATCCCTGCCAGCCACGTGGGCGAGCAGGACGAGCTCCTCTCCTGATCTGGCCTGGCGGCTGCAGTTATCTGAGGGTAAACTGCCAACGGGGCAGTCCTCTCTTCCTTTCTCTCTCTGCCTCTCAAATAAATAGAAATGAACATTTTTAAAAACCAAAGTGGTGGGGCCGGCGCTGTGGCGCAGCAGGTTAATGCCCTGGCCTGAAGCACCAGCATCCCATATGGGTGCTGGTTCGAGTCCCGGCTGGTCCTCTTCTGATCCAGCTCTCTGCTCTGGCCTGGGAAAGCAGTAGAAGATGGCCCAAGTCCTTGTGCCCTGCACCCATGTGGGAGACCCAGAAGAAGCTGCTGACTCCTGGCTTCGGATCGGCACAGCTCCAGCCGTTGCGGCCATCAGGGGAGTGAACCAGCGGATGGAAGAGCTCTCTCTATGTCTCTACCTCTCTCTGTAACTCTGTCTTTCGAATAAATAAATCTTAAAAAAAAAGGGGGGGGGGTGCTTGTGAAACTCCTGGCCTGCTGCTGGGCACGTAACGGGCCTGTGACAGCAGGTGCGACCTGCCACTGGGAGCCTGGCTCCGAGCCCAGGCTCCAAACCACTCCCCGGCCCCATCCAGGACCGAGCTGAGACGGGCTGGGCAGTCCCTGGTTTTCTGGGCTGTCCAGCTGGGCTGTCCCTGGTTCTCTGGGCTGTCCAGCTGGGCTGTCCCTGGTTCTCTGGGCTGTCCAGTTGAGTTGTCCACAGTTCTCTGGGCTGTCCAGCTGGGCGTTCCCTGGTTCTCTGGGCTGTCCAGCTGAGTTGTCCCTGGCTCTCTGGGCTGTCCAGCTGGGCTGTCCCTAGTTCTCTAGGGAGTGAGACAGTCCCGATAAAGGAAGAGAGAAAAATAAGACACCCATAATCCCAGCACCCTGGATGCGGCCACAGAGCAGGACGCTGCCCTCCTGCGACGCACGTCCTCTGCTAACGGCCCGTCTTCCTGCTCCCTCTGCTGATCCTCCCTGCTGGTCACCCGAGCACGTTCCCCGCCTGCTGACCTTGCACTGATGGCCACATCATCAGTAATCATCAGTGTGGAGGCCCCAGCACCCAGGGGTGCTCGGTGAAGTCCGTGCTGACGCGGGCAGGCAGTGGTGGGCGGGGCCGCACGCACGTGGTATTACTGGCTGCATCTCTCAGAGGCGCACAGAGCTGAGAGGGGAGGCACCTGCCCAGGCAGCAGCAGCGCAGACGCAGGGCAGAGGAAGAACCGGGAGCCCGCCCCGCCCTCAGAGGAGCTCAGACTCCCCCACCCGGGCACTCACCAATTTGAGCGAGAACCGGTATTTCTGGGTACTCGGGGAAGGCTCAGCTGTGGAGGAACAGAGGAGAGCACGGGTATGAGCCTGCAGGAAGGTCAGGGTCACGGTCAGAGCTGCATCTGCTCCCCGGTTCGCACACCTGCCCCTTCCTCTTCCCGAGGGGTTCTTCTCTTCTCCATGTTTGTCAAAGCCAGCAGGGTGGCAGCGGGCTGGTGCGGCAGCCCTGAGGCGGCTCTGCTTGCGAGGGCTGGGCCTGGGTTTCGGGAGCGCTCTCCTCATGGACGAGGGGTTAGCACTGAGCACCTGCTGTCCCCCGGGAGTCTGGAATCGGGGACGTGTCAGGTAGAAAGGACACAAAACTCCACCGCTCTTCCTGACCAGGGAAACTGGCAGAAGACGGCGCGATCTGCCGCGGGGTGTCCCCACCCACCTGCAGCACGACCCCCACTGCGAGCTCGGAGCCAGCAGGGCTCCCCAGCCCCGCTCCCCGCCCCACCGCGTCTGCACAGGCACCAGGGCCTAGTGCGCAGCAGGCGCTGCCTGAAGACCTGCTTGTGGGATGAATGAGCCACTCAGGCGGGGTCCGCTGTGCCTGCGAGACAGCCTGAGCCAGAGTGAAGCCACGTGGGTGCCCTGGCTGCTCTGCCTCGATCCAGCTCCCGCTGGCGTGTCTGGGAGGGCAGGGAGGCACGGCCTAAGCACTGGGCCCCTACCGCCCGCTGGGAGGCTTAAATGGAGCCCTGGGCTCCTGGGTCGGCTCGGCCCAGCCCTGGCTGCTGCAAGCAACTGGGAGTGGAGCAACAGGTGGATCTCCCTCTCGGGCAGATAATTCTTCACACACACGGCGTCCCCCTCACCTGAGGTCTGACCTCACACACGGCGTCCCCCTCACCCGAGGTCTGACCTCACGCACGCGGCGTCCCCCTCACCCGAGGTCTGACCTCACACACAGCGTCCCCCTACCCGAGGTCTGACCTCACACACGGCGTCCCCCTCACCCGAGGTCTGACCTCACGCACACGGCGTCCCCCTCACCCGAGGTCTGACCTCACACGCGGCGTCCCCCTCACCCGAGGTCTGACCTCACACGCGGCGTCCCCCTCACCCGAGGTCTGACCTCACACGCGGCGTCCCCCTCACCCGAGGTCTGACCTCACGCACACGGCGTCCCCCTCACCCGAGGTCTGACCTCAGACACGGCGTCCCCCTCACCCGAGGTCTGACCTCACACACGGCGTCCCCCTCACCCGAGGTCTGACCTCACGCACACGGCGTCCCCCTCACCCGAGGTCTGACCTCACACACGGCTCCCCCTCACCCGAGGTCTGACCTCACACACGGCGTCCCCCTCACCCGAGGTCTGACCTCACGCACGGCGTCCCCCTCACCCGAGGTCTGACCTCACACACGGCGTCCCCTCACCCGAGGTCTGACCTCACACACGGCGTCCCCCTCACCTGAGGTCTGACCTCACACGCGGCGTCCCCCTCACCCGAGGTCTGACCTCACACACGCGGCGTCCCCCTCACCTGAGGTCTGACCTCACACACGTCTCCCCCTCACCTGAGGTCTGACCTCACACACGCGGCGTCCCCCTCACCCGAGGTCTGACCTCACACACGGCTCCCCCTCACCCGAGGTCTGACCTCACACACGGCTCCCCCTCACCCGAGGTCTGACCTCACACACGGCGTCCCCCTCACCCGAGGTCTGACCTCACACGCGGCGTCCCCCTCACCCGAGGTCTGACCTCACACACACGGCGTCCCCCTCACCCGAGGTCTGACCTCACGCACGGCGTCCCCTCACCTGAGGTCTGACCTCACACACGGCGTCCCCCTCACCCGAGGTCTGACCTCACGCACACGGCGTCCCCCTCACCTGAGGTCTGACCTCACACGCGGCGTCCCCCTCACCCGAGGTCTGACCTCACACACGCGGCGTCCCCCTCACCCGAGGTCTGACCTCACACACACGGCGTCCCCCTCACCCGAGGTCTGACCTCACACGCGGCTCCCCCTCACCCGAGGTCTGACCTCACACACGGCTCCCCCTCACCTGAGGTCTGACCTCACACACGGCTCCCCCTCACCCGAGGTCTGACCTCACACACACGGCGTCCCCCTCACCCGAGGTCTGACCTCACGCACGGCGTCCCCTCACCTGAGGTCTGACCTCAGACACGGCGTCCCCCTACCCGAGGTCTGACCTCACACACGGCGTCCCCTCACCCGAGGTCTGACCTCAGACACGGCGTCCCCCTACCCGAGGTCTGACCTCACACACGGCGTCCCCCTCACCCGAGGTCTGACCTCACACACGGCGTCCCCCTCACCCGAGGTCTGACCTCACACACGGCTCCCCCTCACCCGAGGTCTGACCTCACACACACGGCGTCCCCCTCACCTGAGGTCTGACCTCACACACGGCTCCCCCTCACCCGAGGTCTGACCTCACACGCGGCGTCCCCTCACCTGAGGTCTGACCTCACACACGGCTCCCCCTCACCTGAGGTCTGACCTCACACACGGCGTCCCCCTCACCCGAGGTCTGACCTCACACACGGTGTCCCCCTCACCCGAGGTCTGACCTCACACACGGCTCCCCCTCACCTGAGGTCTGACCTCACACACGGCTCCCCCTCACCCGAGGTCTGACCTCACACACACGGCGTCCCCCTCACCCGAGGTCTGACCTCACGCACGGCGTCCCCTCACCTGAGGTCTGACCTCAGACACGGCGTCCCCCTACCCGAGGTCTGACCTCACACACGGCGTCCCCTCACCCGAGGTCTGACCTCAGACACGGCGTCCCCCTACCCGAGGTCTGACCTCACACACGGCGTCCCCCTCACCCGAGGTCTGACCTCACACACGGCGTCCCCCTCACCCGAGGTCTGACCTCACACACGCTCCCCCTCACCCGAGGTCTGACCTCACACACACGGCGTCCCCCTCACCTGAGGTCTGACCTCACACACGGCTCCCCCTCACCCGAGGTCTGACCTCACACGCGGCGTCCCCTCACCTGAGGTCTGACCTCACACACGGCTCCCCCTCACCTGAGGTCTGACCTCACACACGGCGTCCCCCTCACCCGAGGTCTGACCTCACACACGGTGTCCCCCTCACCCGAGGTCTGACCTCACGCACGGCGTCCCCTCACCCGAGGTCTGACCTCACGCACGGTGTCCCCCTCACCCGAGGTCTGACCTCACACACGGCTCCCCCTCACCCGAGGTCTGACCTCACACACGGCTCCCCCTCACCTGAGGTCTGACCTCACACACGCGGCGTCCCCCTCACCCGAGGTCTGACCTCACACACGGCTCCCCCTCACCCGAGGTCTGACCTCACACACGGCTCCCCCTCACCCGAGGTCTGACCTCACACACGGCGTCCCCCTCACCCGAGGTCTGACCTCACACGCGGCGTCCCCCTCACCCGAGGTCTGACCTCACACACACGGCGTCCCCCTCACCCGAGGTCTGACCTCACGCACGGCGTCCCCTCACCTGAGGTCTGACCTCACACACGGCGTCCCCCTCACCCGAGGTCTGACCTCACGCACACGGCGTCCCCCTCACCTGAGGTCTGACCTCACACGCGGCGTCCCCCTCACCCGAGGTCTGACCTCACACACGCGGCGTCCCCCTCACCCGAGGTCTGACCTCACACACACGGCGTCCCCCTCACCCGAGGTCTGACCTCACACACGGCTCCCCCTCACCTGAGGTCTGACCTCACGCACGGCGTCCCCCTCACCCGAGGTCTGACCTCACACACGGCGTCCCCCTCACCCGAGGTCTGACCTCACACACACGGCGTCCCCCTCACCCGAGGTCTGACCTCACGCACGGCGTCCCCTCACCTGAGGTCTGACCTCAGACACGGCGTCCCCCTACCCGAGGTCTGACCTCACACACGGCGTCCCCCTCACCCGAGGTCTGACCTCACACACGGCGTCCCCCTCACCCGAGGTCTGACCTCACACACGGCGTCCCCCTCACCCGAGGTCTGACCTCACACACACGGCGTCCCCCTCACCCGAGGTCTGACCTCACACGCGGCGTCCCCTCACCTGAGGTCTGACCTCACACACGGCTCCCCCTCACCTGAGGTCTGACCTCACACACGGCGTCCCCCTCACCCGAGGTCTGACCTCACACACGGTGTCCCCCTCACCCGAGGTCTGACCTCACACACGCGGCGTCCCCCTCACCCGAGGTCTGACCTCACACACACGGCTCCCCCTCACCCGAGGTCTGACCTCACACACGGCGTCCCCTCACCCGAGGTCTGACCTCACGCACGGCGTCCCCTCACCCGAGGTCTGACCTCACACACGGCGTCCCCCTCACCCGAGGTCTGACCTCACACACGGCGTCCCCCTCACCCGAGGTCTGACCTCACACACACGGCGTCCCCCTCACCCGAGGTCTGACCTCACACACGGCTCCCCCTCACCCGAGGTCTGACCTCACACACGGCGTCCCCCTCACCCGAGGTCTGACCTCACACACGGCGTCCCCCTCACCCGAGGTCTGACCTCACGCACGGTGTCCCCCTCACCCGAGGTCTGACCTCACACACGGCTCCCCCTCACCCGAGGTCTGACCTCACACACGGCTCCCCCTCACCTGAGGTCTGACCTCACACGCGGCGTCCCCCTCACCCGAGGTCTGACCTCACACACGGCGTCCCATCACCCGAGGTCTGACCTCACACACGGTGTCCCCCTCACCCGAGGTCTGACCTCACGCACGGCGTCCCCCTCACCTGAGGTCTGACCTCACACACACGGCGTCCCCCTCACCTGAGGTCTGACCTCACACACGGCGTCCCCCTCACCCGAGGTCTGACCTCACACACGGTGTCCCCCTCACCCGAGGTCTGACCTCACGCACGGCGTCCCCCTCACCCGAGGTCTGACCTCACACACGGCGTCCCCCTCACCCGAGGTCTGACCTCACACACGGCGTCCCCCTCACCTGAGGTCTGACCTCACACACGGCGTCCCCCTCACCTGAGGTCTGACCTCACACACGGTGTCCCCCTCACCCGAGGTCTGACCTCACGCACGTGGCGTCCCCCTCACCCGAGGTCTGACCTGACGGCTGAAGCCCTCCCTCCCCTCTCTCTCCACCTGGGCCTCCTCGCTGTTGCTGGAGGAAGACGCAGGCCCTGGGACGCTGGGCTCACGTGTGGGAGCCGCACCCCGACCCAACCACAGTGAGACCCGAGCCAGTCTCTCCCTCGCTCTCGTGTGGACGCATGTGGGAGGCCCGCCCTGCTCGCTGTCAGACATTTTCACGACCTTCGGTGTGTGGTCTCCACAGCTGACCCACTCTGACATGGCCACAGCAGCCCTCCTCAGCGCACGGCCACGGGGCCGCAGGCCACGTGACAGCAGCAGGCGGTGCCGGGGAGGCGCAGGGGCTTCACCCAGGACACGCGGCTTCCAACCGGCAGTCCCCGTGGCTCCCAGCGCCTCCTCCCACTCACTCACCCAGCACACCCGGCCTCGGGCAAGGCGCAGCCCCAGGAGGCGCTCTGCGGCTGGGGATCCGCCCCCCCAGGAGGCGGTTATGCGGCTGGGGATCCACCCCCTGCCCCCCAGGAGGCGGTTCTGTGGCTGGGATCCGCCCCCCCCATCCCCCAGGAGGCGCTCTGCCCCCCCCCCCCGCCTCAGGAGGCGGTCCTGCGGCTGGGGATCCGCCCCCCGCCCCATCCCGCAGGAGGCGGTTCTGCCTCTGGGATCCGCCCCCTCCCGTCCCCCAGGAGGCGCTCCGCGGCTGGGATCCGCCCCTCCCCAGGAGGCGGTCCTGTGGCTGGGATCCGCCCCCCCCACCCCGTCCCCCAGGAGGCGGTTCTGCAGCTGGGATCCGCCCCCTCCCGTCCCCCAGAGGGGCTCTGTGGCTGGGATCCGCTCCCCCCGCCCCGTCCCCCAGGAGGCGGTTGCTGCGCTGGGGATCACCCACCCACCTCCCCCCCCCCCCAACCCCCCCCCCCCCCCCGTGCCTCAGGAGGCGGTCCTGCGGCTGGGGATCCGCCCCCATCCCCAAAAGGCGGTTCTGCGGCTGGGGATCCCCGCCCCGCCCTGCCCCGCTCCCGACAGACAGCACACCTTCATAGAGGATGCCCTGGGCGTCCTTGGTCTGCAGGGCTCCCAGCTTCCAGCTCTGCCCGTTCTGGTCCGTCAGCACCGTCCCCGCGGGTAAAGCCTCGAGCGAGGCGGTCACCCGGCTCCGCTTCAGGGTCTGAGGGCTCTGCCTGCTCGTCTGCGGGCTGCCTTTGGGGGTTGGGGGTCTGCTCCGAGACCCTGCAGGGGGATGGTCCCAGTGAAGAAAAAGTGACATCAGGGAGAGACTCACGATGCTGCACATTTAGTCATTCAACAAATACTTCCTGGGACCTTGGTTGCGTCAGGTGCTTTGTGTGATAAGGCTGGGTCGCCAGA